TACATGGCATAAAAATTCACAATTAAATCACAACCATAGAAATGGACTCGCGTGGTCCTTGGAATGCGGCTGCCATGTTTAGGAAAAAATAGAATAATTCAAGACAGGTGACAGTTTCATGTAGTAAGTGACAGGGTGTTTCTACTTTTTTATTTATATTAGATAAAAACCATCTTCAGGGGCTCCCTTTTCGGGGGCTGTAGCTCCCTTAGGAGGCATTTCTCGACCTATATTTATAGGGACTTTTTTCTTATTTTTGCACGTAGAATCGGCTGTTAAAGTATGGTGCACTAATTTCAGGACACCCTGTATAACACGGTATATTTTTGTCTAAAATTAACGAAATATGGCTAAAAATGAAAGTTTTGTATAAGTCTAGAAGCTACTACATGGATTTTGTTTTATGGTATATTTTGTTGTTTTTTAAGAAAAATGTAAGTTGTGATACCTATATCATTTTAAAAAGAATTACTAGAACCCAAAAATAAATATTTTTTAAATTACTTTTTAAAAAAGAATTTTTTTAGCACAACTACCTTAATTAAACGCAGTCAAGTTGGCCTACTTTTTTAGGAGTTTTAGGAGATTGATGGCAATTTTAGGAGTTTTTAAGATTTAAGCCAAATTTTAGGAATTTTATGAATTTTAGGAGGTGTGGGAGCCCTGCACTTTATCACCCTGTATCTTGGAAACATAAATATTTATTTAGATTTTCGTCTTATTTTGACTTTCTCAATCTTTTCCTAAATTTATGCCAATAAGTTTAGGGACACCTTGTGTATATATATATATATATATATATAGGAACCCCCATTTTTTATTGCAGATTCGGATTTCCCATTAAAAAATAAGTAACTTTTATGGAAAAACTTTTTTTTAATTTCTGATAGATGGCGCTGTAATCGCAAGAAACCCGATTTTTGGGAATATCTTAAAAATTACACATCGGATCGAAAAAAAGAAAAACTTGTTTAATTTTTGGATTTTATTCGTATATCAAGAAGTTAACATCTATTTTTAACGTTACCCAAGAACAAGGACCAGGACGCAGTAGTTTTTTGTTCCCATCGGGGTGCTAGTTTTAAGAGAGTCCCCCTGCCCTGTTTAATAAATTAGATTAAATGTTCGAAAATGTGACCTTGAACTTCTAGAGACTTATTTATTCTTTTTTCAAATGATTGTATACAGGAGAGGAGCATATCTGCGGGAATTTCAGCACAAGCGTTTCTTATGCGCTGTATCATGTATTCCCGAGTTGTTGGTGCTTGTTGAAAAACCTTATCTTTTAGATAACCCCACAGAAAAAAAATCCAGCGATGTCAAATCAGGTGACCTAGCAGGGCAATTAACCGGGCCACCTCTGCCGATCCATCGGCCATTGAAATCACGGTTCAATACTTCCCGTGCTGTTGCTGAGTAATGGGTTGGGCAACCGTGCTGAAACCACATAATTTGTCGAATGGGCATGGCAACATCCTCAAGTAGAGGTGGTAGTTCATGTTCCAGGAAATTTCGATATTTGATTCCATCAATGAAATAAGGACCAATGAGTTTGTTACCTAAAATTCCACACCAAACGTTAACCGACCAGGGGCGTTGATGTTCAACTTGTCGTAACCAGTGGGGATTGTCCACACTCAAATAGTGCATGTTATGCCGATTAACGGAACCATGGTTTGTGAATGTGGACTCATCTGAAAATAGTACATTAGGGAAGAAATTGGGATTTCTTTGTATTTGCTGAACTGCCCATTCACAAAATTCTACTCGCCGATGAAAATCATTGCCATGAAGTTCCTGATGCAGTGAAACCCGGTATGGGTGATACTTGTGACGATTCAATATTCTCCGAATACTATCTCTGGAAATCCCGATGTATTTCCCGAGTGCTTACATGAGGGTTATGTTGAACAGCTGCTATCACATTAATTTCATTAGCTTCTCCTGCGACAGTGTTTCTTCGTTTTCTTTTTTTAAGTTGTACACTACCGTCGGATTTAAAGGATTGAACATCTTTATAAAAAAACGGGCGTGAATGAATATTATCTGGAAAACGTTCAGCATATAAGGCAACAGCATCGTCAATATTCCGCCTACATTCTCCGAAAATCAGAATCATTTCAATTTTTTCTTCTACGGTTGCAGAATTCATTTCTCACTCGTACGTTTCTAAATCAACTGCGAATGTTGCGTCTATAAAAACGGAACATATGTTTTTATAGACGCATAAGTACCTAAGGTATAAATATGTTTTTATAACATACCTACATATGTACATACCTGGACGCATTAGTAAGGTATAAATATTTTTAATTTGTACCAACATCAAAAGGAATTAATTAATTTTTTTTTTGAATTCCCTAACAATTCTCGTATACACTAATTATATTTTTTAATGGGAAATCCGAATCTGCAATTTTTCAAGATATTCCCAAAAATAGGGTTTCTTGCGATTACAGCGCCATCTATCAGGAATTTAAAAAAAGGTTTTCCATAAAAGTTACTTATTTTTTAATGGGAAATCCGAATCTGCAATAAAAAATGGGGGTTCCTATTTAGAATTTTAAAGTTGCCCCCACCCCCACCCCAGGGGGTGGTGGTGAGGGGTCGACTTTGGTATCATTGGATGGCCCCCTTCCAGACGAACAAATTTTATTCAAAACTTTTTTTGATCCGATGGGTAGTTTTCGAAATATTTCAATGTCTTCAGATAAATTGGCCACCCTGTATATACAATAAATAATATAATTACATTGAATTGCATTCAATTAAAATTTTATAAAACAATAAAAACTCTATTATTTTAATTTTACATGAAAAATTATATTTAAAACATAAAATAACAATTTAAATTAATTAATATTAAAAATATATTTTAAACGACATTGACATAAGGGAAATCATATAATTTTTTCTGTGAGTTTGTAAAAAATTACCAAAAGTATAAATTTGCCTAACGTAGTAACGCGACACAGAACACAGAACGCAAGAAATTCGGTCCCGAACGAACGTTTAAAATGACCATAACTTGTCTTTTAATTAAAAAAACCTTTCCAGTAATTTATTAAACAGAAAAATACACTTTTGTCAAAATCTGTTAAAGTTGGCCGTTTTTAAGATAATTGAATTTTCGGAGTTCGATAATCTTTCTTTCTGGTTACAATGGACTTACGTCGTAAGACGGCTACCCAAGTTTGTGCTCAATGAAATGTGTGTCTGTTGACACGTCTCGATTTTTCCATGCCTTTCATGGAAATACTAGTATTAACGTCTAATGATTTCAGCAAGATCCATCCACCATCGGACAAACACGTATATGTATGAGGTTATATACTTCAAATTTAACTTAATATAAATACCACTTTTTATTTTTTTTTGCGTTCCATCACTTGACATAGCAAGACGCATCGTAGCAGCGCGAGCTCTTAAAACGTAACAGCCAAAACCAACAAATAATTTCTCATAAAGTGCAAACAAATTATAGTGTAACAACTACAGAGAGTATAGACTACCCTACGGTCAATAATGAGTTAAGTGTTAAGTGATAAGTGATAAGAAAGAGTTAAGTGAAAAGTGAGCTTCTGGGCGGTCCTACCACCCCTCAACTGGACGCTTTTCATTGGACAAACAAAAGAGGACAAAACCAACAAACAATTTTTCACAATTGCAAACTAATATAGTGTAACGGTCGAAAAAGAGTTAAGTGACAAGTGTCAGTTTCTGGGTGATCATACCACCTGTCAATTGGACGATTTTCACTAGACAAACAAAAGAGGACAAACAAGGGAGGAATAGGCCATTTGCAAAAATTTATAAGTATCCTTAACCATCTGCATGACCTAACACATAATTTGCAAAATTAAACACGACGACAGATACCTATAAAACCCTAAGAGAGGCACATTGCTTAAACTCTAAAAAAAAAACAATAAACATCAGTAACAATAATAACATTAGAAAGACAATGTTTTTAATTCGTTGTTATGGATACGTTTGTAATTATAATTCTTAGTGCTACGATATTGTCAAACCCGCGTGACAAGCTGTTAGAAATTATCTTTTACTGATAAAAAACTTTAAATAATTTTGAGAGAAAATACAGACATTAAACAATCGTGGGAAATAGGACGTTCCTCTATAATAAAAAGAAGGCAAAACATCGCTATGAATTTTCAAGAAGTTGTTCGAGGAAAGCAAGGAAAAGAACTTAAACGAAAATGTCCTAATGGCATATTTAGTTCAAAGAAATTTTGAATTTTGAATTAAGGTATGTTGGTTATTTTTAATATAAATACCTAAAAAAATGCCTATTTCCTGCATAAATTATACTTAATTTACTTATCGATCTAAAAACGCGTTGGTAAGTAATTACTTACTGTTATCCCTAGCAACCAGTAAAGTACAACTATTAATGTAACAAAAAAATTTAATTTGATCTTCAAGCGGTCTATAAATTAAACTTTATTTTCAACACTCAACACTATTGATTGGTCCAGGGCCTAGGGGTTCCCAAACTTTTTCAGTTCGCAGCACACTTACAGGATTAATTCTTTTTCCTGGCGCCCAGTTTGTGCTATAGCGTTATCAGGCTAAAAAATGAATATACCAGTAACAGTTTAGTTCACAAAATTATATTTGATAAAAAAATCATGAAAAGCGTCCCAGGGCGCCGCGGCGCATACTTTGGGAACCACTGGTCTAGGCACATAAAGTAATTAGTTGGTGTTTTTTTTCGCCAGTGGCTTAGGCGTCAGTAATTGGCCGCGACTTCAGTACGCATCGTGTCTGGACCAATCATAAAATTCGACTAAGCTCACTTTCTACTTTTAATAATTGTACGTTTCATGTATCGTTTAAATTGTGCTTTAAAGATAAAATGATGTATGGAATTTAACCAAGAAGGCCTTTTTGTGCTTTGCTTAACCTCAGCACAAAAAGACTTAGGTACTTCTTGGCCTAATGGGTCATTAGTAATGACATAAATAACTATTTTAGCTTACCGTCATTTATTTCCATGGGAAGAAAATTATTTTGTAACTTTTTTTCCAAAGATGAAACATTGTTACTTGTCACTGATGATTGTGTTATAGAATGTCCCAAAGCTATACTTCTTTTTCCAGTTACTAAACTTTGATTAGTTTTTAAACCGACCTTGATTGAATTAAGATCTACACTTGAATTTGAGAAATTAGCTGGTTCAGTTTGATTTTCTTGTTGATTAACCTTAAAATGGGATTGTGGACTGGAGCAGCCAATACTACTTTTTTCTGTGGTATTATTTTGTATCTGCAACATCAAAACAAAATATCATTTTTGGTTTATTTAATAGAGCAGTCAGTCAAATTATGTAATAAAGTTATCCAAAAGTACTCTAAACATAAAAATCAAGCAGAAAAACATTAAAACCAAGGAGAAATTTAAAAATACTATAAGAACGTATCTACTAAAAAACGTAGCGCCATTTAAAGAAAATGTAATGCCCTTTGAAAATATGTATCACAACATTCCCCTCCCATTTGAAAAAAAAGGGTGAATGCCGCCCCGCTAAAAGGTTGAAGTTACAGTAATAAAATTAATGTGTAAATATGTCCCCCTGAAAACAAAAATATACGGGTTCGAAGATTTTTTTTTATTTTTACATACAAAGCCGTAAACCTTGCTGGACTGTATATAAATATATATACCGCATTTTCATTTTACATGTAGATAGTCTGCATTCGGTTTTTAAGAGTGAGAGAATAATTTTTAAGAGTGGGAGACGCCGATAGACAGTTTAAGACTAAAACTTTTAGTAATTCATCACAGGGTTGCCACTAATTTTTAGGATAAAGTGTAGGGCCGCGCAACTTTCTGTCTAAATTGTTGGAATTATTAAGATTAATGTAACATCTCGACTCACAAGACAGATTCATATATTTCATATTCCGTCTCATATGACTAATTACACATTTAATGCTATGTTGTGTCGTTTATGCAGGTTAGGAAATATGTTTGATTTAACTCTTTAGCTCACTTTAATAGTATATTATTATACGAGCATATAATGAGGGCTATTATTCAAGAAGGTACAGTTTATGTCACGAGCGTAGCGAGTGACATAATTAACCTGAGTGAATAATAGCTCATTATATGTGAGTAGAATACTATGCTTTGTCCACGACTACTATTGACTTTTATCGGATTGTAATGCAAAAAACTTTATATTTATTATAACCTATTTGACATTAACAAAACCAAAAATTAAAGATGCCTGTGACTATTTTTAAAACTATTTATTTATATTAATTGTAATATAGGTATATATTATATAAAATATACCAGTAAAACTGACTCTGAGAATGAATTAATTTTCTTGGTCGCTCTCCAGTCCATAAAGGTGTTGTACACAGATACGTACAAATTTCGGGATTTCTCAGGCAACAAATTCAGGGAAGTGACTTTTGCAGCTTCTGTTATCTCCGGTGGAGTACACAATATCTCTTCCTCACTATCAATTTCCATTGTTAACGTATTTTTGAAAGCAAATTATAATTTTAACAGGAATTATTATTGCACCACCGCGTCGTTAAAATTTGACGTTTCAAATAATTATTGTCAGTTGATTACATGGCTTCCTACTTGATAATTCTATTATTTATAGATTATGCAGTATTTTATTTCCAATGAATGTGATTTTTTAGGTAATTCGTATTTCGAAAAGTGACTTCTGTGATGTTTTGTTGAGTGCGTAACATCTCTTCATCTTTCACGCTTTGATTTTTTATGTATAATTTAAGCTTAATAATAATTTGTAACAAAAATCGTGTGCTGGATCGAACTTATGACGTTTCAAATTGACAGCAATTTATGCTAAGCTTGTCATGTCATGTCAATGCCTTACTTACTTGAAATAGTCTACTTAATGTTAAATTTTTATTCAATTGCATTAAAAAAAACATATTAATAGTAATACTTTAACAAGACTTTTATGATTGGTATAAAGTTAGCTAATTAAAGTGCCTGGCTATAATTGCCTAGACGAACTGATAAGTGCTTGCCAGATACAATCTATATCGTGTGTCCTATAGGAACTCTAGACCAGTGAATAATGATTATTCACTGCTATTATTCACTCTGTGAAATATGACTATCATTTTGCTTTAGAAAACTCATTTATAAAGTATATATTATAAGGTAGTCGTGGATAAAAGACTTTAAAACATTATTGTAAGTTAGAATTCTTTGTCTACCTCTATATTATTTGTTTTATTGTATGGATTCACCCTGTTAATTATTTATTATTATTATTATTATCAAACTTATATGGGGTTACAAAATTAAAATGATTTTTTACTTAATTTTGAACGATTTTGGCATATATAAAAAGTAAAGGTGGCTTAAAAATGTTAAAATTGGCTTCTGCCCCTCTATTTTTTATTTAAATGGTTGCCAGTGTAAAATATTGTACAAAGCCCGTTTTACAGTCTGCAATTTTACTTGCAACAATATTTGCAATTCCAATTTCAACTTGCATGATACCAAATGTAGTAAAAAAATATATAAAATATTATAAAGTACAATTAAAACTAAACTTAGCTCCTGCGACACGACATTATAAAGGGTTTTTAAATCGAGTGTGGCCGTATTTGAAATGTCAAAATCTTCTCTCACTGTCAGTTATATTAAGTAATCCAATTTTTTTTATCAAAATAATCGTTCTTATATTATACTTATCGTGTACTTCCATATTATGGTCGTCATTATCGGCCTAGTGTGCTCGCTATTCGTCGAACTGTGGAAAATTTTGAACGCAATCTTTGTTTGCGCTTGCCAGTGAGACAAACTTTTGGTCGAAGTGAAGAGAGTGTTGCTGCCGTTCGGGCAAGTGTTGATAAAGACCCTAATTTATAAATTCCAAGACGTTCTCAACACTTGGGACTGTCTGCCACAACATGGCGTATTTTACGGTTCAATTTGGGCTTGCATCCTTACAAAATTGTTATGACGCAAGAATGGTCTATGCTAATAGACCAGCAACAATTGAGACATTAAAATTAAATATTGAACACTAAATTCAAAAAATAGGTCCCAATTTATTAAATAAAGTGATCGAAAATTGGACTCATAATTGCAAAGATTATACTTTAAAATTTGAAAAATTTGTTGCTCTAACTCATCTCTATTTTGTTTTATTTAAGAAAGAAACATATCACTCTTATTGAAAAACCCTTTATTTTGTAATAGAAAGAAACAACACACAAATGACTACCAATTTTCCCCCCGGATTTGCATGCAACTGGCAATAAAAATCGAGCAGGACCGATATTTTGAAATGAGCATGCCTTCGTGCAAGAGTATTGCGTATTGCACGTAGAATTGCAGGCATATGATTTGTTCCACGTGACTGATAAAAATAATTCAATATATCGCACATGGGCGACAAAAGTCAAAAAAACTAAATTTTGGGGTTTTTAGTCCAATAAGCGTAAAATTACTCATAGTTTATGCTGCAACAGTGGCATAAAAATATTTTTTTAAATTAATCCCTAGATGAAGACTAATGTCTATCTGCAATTTGTATAATCCATACCATAATTTTCATCAACAGTGTCATAAGTAAGTTTCCTGTAAGTTGTGACAGTAATTTTGTTAGCGTGGGTTAAAGTTGTCAACAATAAAATAATGAATAAGTGCGCTCCTCACCTAAAGGCAAAAGGTCTCGTGTCTAGGGTCTCGTTTAATGCGTTCGTACTTCCATAGTGCTACCACCGCTATCGGTGTTCAAATTCAAAAAATAAATTAATGATTCTACACGTGATCTACCAGAAGCAAGTGCAAAAAGGGTGCAAATTGCGTGTGGCACCTCCTCCTGGATTAAGTCCCAAAGTGCTCTATCTGTGAAAATAGTGTGAGGGATGAATGGATAAACGAATAATTTTTCCTGGATTACCAACACAGAAAGAACACAATAGTTGGCAATAATTTCACAACACCTGCCTGTCAATGCACCTGAAGTCCAAGTCTGCATAAACAGGATAAGTAAACCTACCAAAATTGGATGACCTTAATAATACCCAAATACTAAATTTTAATACAATATTCGCAACCTTAACTTATAAAGAACTTCACCAGGTAAAAATAAATAAGTCGCAAACAGTTTCCATAAGAACAGCAAGCATAGCAAAAGAACTCCTAAATAAGGGCTCACATAAGCAATCATTAAACACTCAAGTTCAGATAAACACTAGGCAAAAGAAACTCATCCTAAAGAAATAAACATCTGTAGATTACTTACTAACTCGAACGAACAGGAAGTACTTCAAGACCAGCAAGGAAAGGTCCTAGCAGCGTACTAAACAACAAAGCCCCATTCATGAACCAAAATTTAGGGCCGGTTTATTAATGTCCAGTTAACTGTCTTAACTGGTAAATAAAATTAAAGTGGTAGCTAAACTGTTTATCAATATGCAACTAACGTATACTAAGAACTTAAATTAAGATAACTGGAAGTAAATTTAACTGGAAGCTGCAAGTGTCTGAAAATTAACTAGCAGTTATCGCAGTTTATAGGTTATATTTGTGTTTGTGTAGTGTTGTTTTTGAAATGAATATTGGAGATTTTTTTGGAAGAACATTTTCAATATTATGGTTTTTTTTATATCCGCTGCAGAAGCAAAAATAGAGGAGAAAATAGAAATTTTTACGGATATGAACGTACAAGTTCTACATATTTGTCCACGTATCAAGAGAACAATTTGAACCGATAGATTTTTTTTTGGTTAATTTATTTTAAAAATGCGATATTTTTAAATTAATGTTTGTAACAAAAAATAATAAATTGTATAAAAGATATTTATGTACGTATTTTTATTTAAAAACATATCCATATCTACACCTATAAAATAATAAAGAAGCATAACAATATACACAAAATAAGAGTCGATTGAGGTTATGTGTTTTATGCGAATGCCATGAATTTAAATTTAACCAATTAAAATGTATCTTGACAGTGTTGCCCAATTGTGGAATTGCTAAACTGGCAGATAAGAAACTGGAACCGTACGAGGTGAAGAAAAACACTTTTATTCGGATAACTGTCAGATAAAGATAAGATACTTAACCGCCACTTTTAGTTAGACATTGATAAACCGGCCCTGAATAGGGTAATTACCAAATACCTAGTTTAAAGGGACTCCGGATTTTACTAGTTTTGGGTCAGTTTAATGTCCCTCAAAAACCAAAATGTTTTTCCTCCTTGTCCGCACTCCACTAGCCTAAATCGGGCATATGGCCCGGCCCGGCCCGGC